TATTTGCATTTGAGCCTTGTAGTCTTTTAGCTGTGGGTGCATGTCTACGTATATATGTGCAAGTGTGCCTGTGGATGTGAGGATATGCAAGGAGTGACAAAAACACATCTGGCTGTTAATGTGTCTGTGTGATGTCTGAATGAGTACAGCAGACTCATACAAATAATTAGTTTTGCTCCATAGCTCTGTGTGTTGCTATGTGTGTAAATCTGAATTGTGGAGGAAAGGAATCCATTAAGTTGTTTAACTCTCTCTGAGTGTATGGGAGTGTGTGTGTGTGTGTGTGTGGCCGTGGTTGAACCCATTAACTGAATAAACCATCCAGTATGATTGCGGTGTCAAATGGGCTTGCTAAAGCATTTCTGCTGGGCCCAGCAGTCCTTCTCCTTTTTAAAGTCATGACACATTTACACAAGACCTAAAAATCCCAGCCACAGTTAATTATTGATCACTCGGAAATGTCGCATCACTCCCCACACGTGTATAACTGCGGATGTACAAAACACAAACAGATGCTGGCCAGTGGGCAACTTAAATGCCACGTGCTGATTTCATTAGATATAATCAAAGTTGCCGTGATCATTTTAGTGCATCTGGAAAAAGCGTAGGTTGGTGAATAACCTATGTAAACTCTCCTTCAAGCGGGAAGGCCCAGGTTCAGGCTCCTGTGTCAGCAAACACTCCTTGAGCAAGGCATTAAATCTTTTATTGCTCCAAGGCTGTTCTATAACTCACCCTGTTTGAGGTCATCCTGAGCGATCTAAGCAAGAAAAGCATCTGTTGAAAAATAAGAAAAATACTTGTACACAGATGTCAGAGTTGGCAGCAAAGCATTAAATTCTGTTTAGAACATTCTGGGAATCGTCTACTGAAAAGACAGATGGTGGCGATATTTTTAATAACATCCCCCATCTTATCCCACCCACTCACCCCTCAGTTCATGTGCAGCTGCCTTTTAAGAACAAATCACTTAGAGGCAGTGTTACACACCAAGGAGGTTTGAAGCTGATTTCTACCACATTTGCCCTTCTTGACAGTCGTAGGAGAAATGGTAATTGGAGGCGATGCTGGTGGATGCCAAAGAAGATTATCTGGGTAGTGTGTAAAGGTTCACGGATTCGGTCTCACCCAGTCTGATTGGATAAGACGGATCTGAGCTGCTTTGGTGATAACAAAATTGATATTTATGAGCCGACATCTGCATTGGTCCTGATCTATTCTGGTGGTGTGTAAAGTCAAAGCCAATATGAGCAAGGTGAGGAGCTGAGAAGCATGCCTAGTAATGATGGTGACTAAATGCATCTTACTGACTTGCTTGATTCCCTTGTTCATTTTAAAGAATTCGCCTCAAAACATAAATGTTTTACCATTATTTGCTGATTTAAGCATTCAGATTTACTTAAAAAGAATACTGGCCACTTAAACTTCTTTATTTTCCCTTTATTTCCAAAAACAACTTTATGCATACTGTAAAAACTGTGATGCAACATTGCTACCTCTGTCTCCATGGTAATTGTATTAAGTTACAACTTTAACTTTTATATATTGTGTTGTGAGTCAGATTATACAGCTTATGTTCTCACAAACAGAAAACAATGTGGTTAAAGTTTTTGCTATCAGTTGCTTGTTAAGATGGAAAGCAACACGTCAGACTGCAGATATTGGTTTAGAAGCCCACATGTGTTTTGTGGGTTTCACTGAGGGACACTGCCAGCCCTGGTTCCCCTGCTGTTTTCTACAAAGTCTCTCCCCTATTAAACCATGATGCAGCTTGACTCATTGCAAAGATAAGACGAGAGACAAACAGCCATGCTATAAATTTGTCCAAGTACATTTAGGAGACCTGCAAGTCTTCAGCTTTTTGAAGTTTATCAAGGCAGACTATTTTCTTTTTCCTGGCAGTACCAATTTAGAAATTGCTTACAGGAACCTGAGCACACCTCTGCTCTGAAATCACTGTGCTACCCTTCAGCAAGACATCGGGGCAGCTGAACTTTTCTAGTTTTATTCCCATTAAGAATGGATCCTTTCACACCAGACTTCACAACCACACAAGGTTTCTCTCTCACACACACAGAGACAGACACACAGTTATCTGCCAAGATATACTTCAATGCCATCAGTGAGCTTGGCACTGAGTCTGGGCCAGCCAACACCCTGCTCCCCACTGGCTCCCACAAACACGCACACAAACAAGCATGTACTTGTCTCCCATTAGTTTGACTGCACCCTGGCTATATTGCAAAGCCTGTTTGCTGATGTACAGAGGTGGAAATACATTTATGGGGGAGGGACGGACAGAGCCAGAAAGATGTACAGGGCACTAGGGAAAATGTGGATGAGGCAGAAGGGAAATGCACTCAGTTGGCAATTTATTATACAACAAGCTAACCCTAATGATATAATACAACGGTCACCTCTGTGTATACTGTAGTACAGTTCACAGCAGTACAACCTATATCCTCCACAGTGATCATAGTTGAATCAACACCTCTCTCTTCAGGTGAACAAAAATTGAACATTATCACTTTCAAGAAGGAGGATTTATTGCAGGACTATTGTATTAGGTTGTATTAGTTTTAGCTAGGTGTAACAGTGTCATGTAGGTGTCTGACACTTCCACTGGTTACACTCAAAGACCCCTAGAGAAGGCAGAGTCAAAAAGAGAGGATGAAAAACTAGGACAAGTACAAAAAAAGTGCTGCGCCTGTTTACCAGGGTGATTTCTTAAACCATGAATTTCCCAGAGGAAAGTATACTGGCGAGGAAAAACTTAAGCAGTATTTGCCTTGGGAAAGACAGAGAGAAGATGACAATAGGAAGAATCAGGAATGTGCTTAATGGCGATTTCTGCACCTGTGGGAGATGAACCTGTGTGACTGTATGATCACAAGCTTATGAATTTCAGCTCTGTGGGGAAATATAAGGACAATGAGGTTCCTCTGTTGGGCCACAGGCAGCACTACATGGAAATATCTAATGATAGTGCAGAGTCATGCAGCTTTAATAATAAAAGAATACTAAGAAACCATACAGGCAGAGGGAATCACAAGGCATTTTGGTAAAGGATTATTCCAGGTGGCTTGTTTGATCGGTACAGTGTAGGGGTGAATGGACAAACAGAGTTGGACAGAGCAGGGTTTGTGTTGGCAAGTGCTTTGGCTTTCTGATTCAGCTCTTGTTAACCTTAGGAGAGCAGCTTGACAATGTCATGTTACAAAGCTGCTGTGTTTTGCCAATTCCATGGGCCAGTTTTAACATTTTCTCACTCTTGTTGCATCTCAAACATGATATTCCTGAAAGTAAGAGATAAAAAATATGTTTAGAATTTTATAGTACTTGACTTTCTAACAGCAATTTGGCAGTCAAGATGTGTATTTCACACACAGGTAACTCTTGTTGGAGTTGCTTGCTGTAATATTTTATTTTGTAATTTTTACTAATAATTTACTGCAAATTTTCCTATAAAGTTTCCTATAAAGAGCTGCATAATGTGATACTAATAATATTGAAAATAAGAATTGTTGTCAAAGAAAAGTTTAATTTAAACCCAAGTAATTGTTCATTTAGTAGTAATTTGTTATTGGAAACCTAATACGGTATTTTAAGCATATTGTATACTGAACTGTACTGCTTACCTTTCACAGTTTTGCATGGTCAGCTTAGGACTCTAAGACATACTAGCAGTTAGTTTGAATTAATTGTCACTGTAATTAGCACAAAATTATATAAAAAAAACAAAACTGTTCTGAAATTATAGAGAACTTGCAGTATTTCAAAGTTACTGACCAACAAGTCCTCCAAACTATAAAATCCATATGGTCATTTGTCTCTTCACTCTCTTATGACCCTTAGGGGCATCTCATTAAAGTCCCCATGGCTGCTCATTTTCCTCATTTCCAGCCATTAAATGTTTAATCTTGGGTACCTCTAAATGAGCTTTGCACCCATCATAACTTGAAAGAGTCTGTAATTATTTCAGAACAATAAAACCAGAGAGCCTCTTCCTAAAAAAATGAGAGGATAGTTCATGAACACACACCTCCTGCTGTTGGTGTTGTGTCGAAAGTGGACACCACAATGAAACGCAACAGCCTTAATAAATTTGAAGTTCTCCTCCATAGATAGGTAAACAATGATATCTGTACTGATGAAAAGAGATGTGTAACACTCTAAACAAAGTGGATAAATGAGAAACCCCATATTTTAACTGGCATAATGCAGACATAGGAATTTCTCCAGCCTTACAGCAATTCTCTCTAATGTTACAGAAATAACAAAGACAACAATAACATCATGGGTTGTTAATCTGCTACTTAACCAGCAACACATGCAGCAGACACACTGGCCTCAAGCAGTCAAAATAAACAGGTACTGTGCTCTGGTGGGAATCCAGCATTGATGAGCTGATCATTCACCGCTGAGGAGGGCTTCACAGGCTGGCTGCTTGTAGGTTAGACCCAGTCAGGTAAAACAGCCAGCAACCTGAGGCCCTGTATTTTTCTTCAGATCCTATGTTCACAGTACAGCAGCAGGAGGGAAAATATATCCACGACTTTGTGCAGTCAAAAAAAAAATTGACTTTTAAAATGGCACCGGTGGATTTCAGGGAAGCTCACATGAACATGCACAGCCTGGAGATTATGTCCATTCAAAGAAATCCTTAAACTATCACATCATACTTTATTTTGTTAGAAAAAAGTCTTACAATCATCAGACCATCCATCCTACCTCCTCCAAAAACAGACTTTCTGGCTCTATATACTTACTTCTTTCCTTGCGTCACAGTTAAGAGTCATTGCTAGATGTCGTCAAACTATGATATGTAACATTTCGTTGTAATAATCTGCCTGCACAAAATGTATGTTGTTGTATTTTACGGGAGGAGAGTCTCTTACTAACCCATAAAATAAAGTGTTGCCCTTTGTGCTGCTTCATGTGTTTAAGGTAATATGCTGACACAGATTTCTTCCTTTTTTTTGCTGTCTTTGCTTTGGCAGGATGATTCCATCCAGCAGCAATGACTTCCTGGTCCGGGACCTTGCCGCTGGACGCAGCTATGATCTGTGTGTCCTGGCTGTGTTCGATGATGTGATCACATCACTGACTGCAACACGTCCTTTGGGCTGTCTGTCATTCACCACAGACACAGAGTTCAGCCAGTGCCAGGCCTTGCACAGCCACTTCCTGGGTGGTACTATGATCATCATCATTGGAGGGATTATTGTTGCTTCTGTGCTGGTTTTCATTATCATCTTGATGATACGATATAAGGTTTACAGCCACCAAGGAGCAAGCCACGGAAAAGCAGCCATTGCGGCGACTGCACCGAGACCGCAGAGCAACGGGCAAGGGGGAGGCGGACAGGTCCAAGTCTTACCTCGCTCTGCCTCAAAAATGACTGACAGTCAGGATGACCAAGCACTAGCGCCATCCAGGGCCATGTCGCCTAGCAACACCCTGAGAGACACTGTGGCACTGGTCGAAGAGGAGGGTGGCGGACGGAGCCTAATGTCAAGGACTGACTCCTTGGCCAGTGAAGAGTTGCTCTCGCCCACCAAGGCCCGCTTCTTCTCCAGGGTCTCCATTGAGATGAAAAGTAGACCGCCATCTGTGTCCAAAGAGCCCACCTCCCCCAAGGAACTGGCAGGTAGTAGAGAGACAGACAGGGAGGAAGATATAGGCACCTGTGAGGGAAGCAGCAGAGCAAAGAGGAAGCAATTCAGAGAGGTGGAGAAAAACACAAAGAGAAGTTGATAGAGAAAGAGCTAAGGGAGACATACAAAGATGGGAGAGCAAAAAATACAGTCAAAATGAGTAAGAAATAAAAAACAGACAATGTGTGACTATGAAATTAAGCAAGATAACAGAGAGTGGAACAGTGAGAAACAGTGAGGGTGAACAAGAGTAGAAGTAAAAAAGATTGCATCCTCGTGGACTAGTAAGACCGTAAAGAGGAAAGGAGCATGAGCCATGTGCAACTCTGTCTCAAGCAGAGTTGTAGTCACTCTCTTCCTCATGACAGTCACATCAGATCATAGCCTCTCTCAGTCTGCATAAAGCCCTTGTGAGACAAGGGATACTTAACATAAGTCTGTTAAAGTGACGGCTTTCTCTCCGTCAGACATAGGCCACTATGTCTGTTATTGGAGAGGTGTGCATGTCTCAAACGGACAAAAGAAACTAAAACCTTCAATTGCCTTCCTACAGTATAGGTGAATTAACCTCTAGCCATGCATCATCCTGAGCCCATTGATTTTTGTTTTCGGCTCTTGCCAATTACAAGGTTTCATTTGTGAAAAATGGAGGATGTTGCCTGCAACTCAAAGGTCTCAAAGAGATTAGAATGTTTAATAAACTTTTGAATTTATTCTGCAAATGATGCGGTGACCTTGTTGCCAGAAACAGCATTTTGGGGGCCTTTATCCAATGCATAGTCAGCCTGACTGTGTCAGCAATAAGACAAAACAAAAAAATCTTCGTGGGTTGATGTTAGAGGAGAGTGGAATTTGGTAATGCAAGTGGGATCAGCCATCACATCACAGTGAACATAATTCAGGTTAGCATTCCTTGTGTGTACTCCATTAGACTGCTACAAACTATTTGACTCTAAGCACTCAGAGCGCTTGTTTACCATTAAGAATGACACAATCAGAGTGCTTAAGAGTGAAAAAGGAAAGTTTAGTACAAAGGAAGGCTATTGAAGTTTGACTTTATTTCAATACCAAGTTGGAGGAAATCTAAGACCCACATTTCCCATATAATTATAAAAAGTTAAAATGTCTGATGTCTTGAGGAAATGAAAAAGTTCTTCGCTCTTTAATAACTGGATGTGTCATTTTTTTTTACTGTGACATGTACTTTATACAATAAATATGTCTCACAGAGTGTAAACGTCTCTGGAGGGGCTTATAAAGGCAACAACTATTACAAGTGAAATAAAAAAGAAGTTAATGATGATACATTCTGACACCACTGTGAGCTGCTCAGGCAGTCTTTTTATAAAGTTCAACCTTACTACAGTACAGTACTTGTATGAATGTTTACACACTCACAGTTCAGACTCTGCTCCTAGGCTGCTCTCTATGTAAAACGAAGCAACTCGCTTCAGATTCAGTAGGAGCGTAATCCATCCCCTCCAGGGGTAACAAAGCACAATCTGGCAGACAGACGGAATTTAGAAGGAATATACAACATATAATACACAAGGCATCTGATGCAATCACTGTTATTAACGCATGTACTACGGCATAAGAATCTGCATGAAGATAAGACTGTGGTGGTAAAAATCAACATGTTTTGGGAATAAGAGGTATGCCAGTTCACGATGATTAGAAGTTAAAATACACAAAAATAAGAGGGAAATGAAAGCGCTCCAAAGAAAGCTGGATGACCTTGGACAGTGCAACCAAGCTTTCTGATACAAACTTGCCTCTCTGACACCTTGAAACTAGAAAACTAAGTCTTTGCTGTAACCAAAACACAAGTTGCACCCTAATTTGTTGCACTGAAACAGGTAAATTTCCACCTTCGGAACAATTAGTACTACATGAGCTTTATACCATAGGCTTCCTTTTACTGCCTCCCAATCTCTTGCCTCTTTCGTCTGCTTCTGGATCAACCTACTGTGCCAGCTTGAATCAAGTATTTTTAGTTCCTGGCTTACTGACAGAAAATAGCTGTCAGAAAACTGGCAGACAGTTGGCAAAAAGAAACCAGAGACAGTTTTTCTCCAACAGAACTATAACAATTATCTAGGAATGCTATTGTTCATCTACAATATTATTCAAGTTAAAAGCTAGATGGTGAAGCACAATTATTATAATGTGATATACTGTACTTCTTCCTTAACATGCAAGATGGAAAATTGCTGTTATGTAACTCGGTCACGGCCCACAAAGACTATTAGATAGTTTTTTTATGTAATCAGGCCACGGTTCACTTCTTCTGAACTTTTGAAATGACTTGCACATGCTCATGAAGATTATGCTCAATAGCGCTATAATAATAGAAATCCACAAGAGCATGTGAATATAGGGGTGGTTTTCCCCATACAAAGCTCACTCCAGTGCACTTCTCCTTTAACACTAATCCACTCAGGAAATAGGGGTTTCATTAGAAGGAATAAACGGCGACACCATTTCACACGAGTGGTTTAAACAACTGAGTCAAGGCACTTTAACGACAGCTGGCATGTCATTCAGCCGGCCTCTCTGTGAATGGGTTGAAATGAGGTGTTGCTGAGTCTCATGCTGAGCAGGGAGGAGATGAGAGCTCTGTGTCGCTTAGCTAGGCAGTTCAAGGAAAGTTTTTACCTTCATGAACTCTGTTGGATCAGTAGTTGGTTTGACATTTATAACAATTAAATGTGCTGGACAATGCTCATATCACAGTAATTATTCTATAAAAGAGGAGTTGTAAAGATTTTCCCTGGTGCCAAGTGTCACACTAACTAATAGGCTACCCCGAATATTAACAGGCTCAAGACATTGAACTCAAACAAGCTATTTTCTGGTTGATTTTCTCACTTCTCACTAAAGCTTTATGAGTAGATGTAGTTCAGCAAGTGTTCTGAGAGCTTTAGGGCTAAATTGGAGTTACTATAGAAAAGAGCAGCACTGGGAAGTGCTCATTAGCGCTGTAACAGCCTAGAATTTTGCAGTACTTGAATGTCGCACCAAGGGGCCACTGTGTGCACACACTCAAATATTTCCCCTATAGACCTAATTAACAGCACCAACCTCATCTAAACCCTAACTGACTGAAACGTGTCAAAGGAGCTTCTATAGAGCATCCCCGACTACAACAAGACAGGCAAACACAGCAGTTATTGTAGTTTTTATTTTGAAGCTGTGCCCAGGAATCAAAAAGTTAGCGCTGGCTTTTGTGCTGTTTGCTTCCTCGCTTTGATTCTGGGATCGCTGGCACTTTGAGGGCAACCCACAATGAGGGATAATACTCGTGTGTATGTACGGAGGCTGTTGGGGTTTCTCAGGGTGTAGCTGCATCTGTGATGTGTTTCACCGGCTGCTGCATTGCAGAGAGAGGCAACATTGATCTGATCAGAGAGAGAGAGCCACAGTGAGTCAGAGCAACTGAGGAACAGAGCCTCTGACAGACACACAGAGAGACCCCATTAAAGGCCCGCGGATGTCAAAAATGTGGCCCAACATGAAAGACATAGACACACTGTGGGAGAAAGTTTGCTTTGTTTGTTTTTCACATTGTTTGCTTTGTTCACAATCATATATATGAACTGGAATCTTAATTTTGAATTCATGATTCTTTTAGCTTAAAGGACTCTTGGATTTTTTAGCTTAGATGGATACATTATGTTGTCAAGTCTATCTTAATACAGCGCTCACATGCCCGTGAGGAAACTAGTTTCCCCAGTCATACTGGGACCCGTAGGTGCTCAAGTAATCCCTCTCCAGCCCAGTTAGAAACAGGACACAGAGCACACATTCCTCACTCTGCAGAAATGCATTTTAAAGTTCAACTGAAGTTCAAATGAGTTTTCAGTTTCAGTCTAGTATACCCTGGATCTGGCTAACTCACGCCTCTTTGAATGGGAGGGGGACCGAGGGGCAGCTTCTTTTATCAAATAGTCACACTAGGAGAGAACGCTTCAGGGCCTGTATGGAGAGGAGGCAGCAACAATAACTTGCACCTATATTTATGGTGTGTGAGCACTGGATTAAGATAATTGACAAATGCACAGCAGAGAACCATTGGGCACTCACAGTGTCACCTTCAAGCTTCAGATCTAGCATGTGAAATAAGGACACTGCATTTGGATTTGGCATTAGAAGTAACAATACTAAGAGGGGAATTTTCTATCCAAATTAGCAGGAATTAAATTCTTGACACAAACATATTATTATGTCAAGCATCGTGCAAATAGGCTAGTTCACAAAGAGTCAACAACCAGTCAATAATGTGTGTAGTGTATAACTCATGTCATGGGGAGAAAAATCTCTTTACAGAATCTGGACAAAAACACAAGGTGAACCCTTAGTTTTTAGAGGTCAACAGTTCTAATGTCAGCGCAAACCTCCAGGTAAAGAATCTAAGCCAATATCCTCACAAAAACAGTTGTTGTGTTTTGTGCCTGTAAGCTCAGGGTCAGCTAGCAAATCTCTGCAGGTTTATATATGCATTTGTGTGTTGTTGTGTGCAAGGTTAAACTGCCTTGAACCAGTGCAAATTTTCCCACAAGGTTAGGCAGGATGGCCAAATAGTCGAGTACAACAATGATGTGTGTGACTCTTTGTGAAGTGCAAGTGTGTGTTCTCCCCCATGGCCCATCTGTGACCCCGTAGCCGGTCTGTCCTCTGTGTATTTTAATCTATCATGGCTCCTTTCGGTGTCATCCCGTATGCCCGGCCTCATCCTTCACTGCCGTCCGTCTTTCTGAATTCATCCCTTGGAATCTCCCTCTCTTGTCCCCTCTTGTGGTGTTTCTCAAGCTCTCTCTATCGTTTTTCTCATGACTTCCCTCCGTGGCCACTCTCTCACTGTCTGGACATTTTTGTTTCCTCTCTCTTTCTCTCACCCATTTCTCTCTGCTGTTTAGCTGCATCTATTTTTGGTGTTTTTCTCTGTTTCTTAATGCTTCTTTCCATGTCACTCTCACTCTTTCTGGCTCTGTTTCCTTGTCTCTTTCTCCATTTCTCTCTTCTCTCTCTGTCCCTCCTTCTCGCTCTCTGACTCTTGGATGCCTCCAGCAGCAGATGACAGGCGACCTCCTAGTGTCGAATGGAGAGCCTTTAGGATCTGAAGGTCTCTCGGCCTCACAAAGCGATTGCATCGACACTACACACAAAGA